TTGGTACCGGGAATTGAACTCTCAGGACTCCGTGCTTGCCAGGCAGGTGCTGGGCCACTGAGCCATATCCTTGGCCCTGATAAAAATCTTAAAACACCAGAGGAAGTGGCACAGTGCTTTTTAAGTGCTAAAAGAAGTGTCAGCTTCTGTCTGGTAAAACTATCTGGGAATGAAAGGAAAATAAAGATTACTAGATAGAGGAAAACAAGAGTATTTGTTGCTAGTAGACCTGCCCTAGAGAAATGCTGCAGGATGCTCTTCAGAAAGACAAGATAACAGGAGGAAGCTGGGAATTTCAGAAGTGAAGGAATAGAAATGGAGTGGGAAAAAATAGGAGGAACTATAATAGACCTCTTTTATCAGCAATTTCTAAACTATTTGATGACTGACGTAAACATTACACTATATGCGTTGCAGCATTCAATGTATGGAGAAAAAATATTTAAGATACTTTCTTTTTAAAATGGAGAAGGTTAAGGACCCTAAATGGGATTTTTTAAAAATCGGTACCGGGGATGGAACTCATGGCCGCACACTTGTAAGAGGCGCTTATGCCGCTGAGCTAAATCCCCAGCCCAAAGGACCCTAAATGGAAGTGAGCTTTCAGCAGTTAGGTGTGTGTACATTGTATGTAATAACAGAGGAGCCACTGCAAAAGGTACCCAAAGCAGGGTACAGCATCAGTAGACGGGCACGGTGGTATACACCTGTGATCCCTGCACTGGAGAAGCTGAGGCGGGACTGATGGTAGTGTGAGGCCAGCTTGGGCTGCGTAGTAATTTCAAGGCCAGCCTGACCTGCATAGCAAGACCCTGTCTCAAAAAAAATAAAACAAAACCAGAAAAAAATGAAAGGATACATTAAACCAGACTCAGTAGTACATGATTGTAATTCCAGTTACTTGAGAGGCTGAGGCTGAAGAGTATAAGTTTGAGCCTCTCCTGAGCAATTTAAGGAGACCCTGTCTTAAAAAATAAAGCCTGGCATTTAGCTTGGGCGGCATAAGGACCTGCCTGGCAAGTGCGAGGTCATGAGTTCAGTTTAAAAAAAAAAAAAAAAAAGATAAAAGGCCAGAGTGTAGCTCAGTGTGAGAACTCTTGCAGAGCATTTCCGGAGCACTAGGTTTGATCCCCAGTGTTACAAAAAGATAAGTAAGTCTGGTGTGGTGGTGCTTGCCTATAATCCCAGCACTCAGGAGACTGAGGCAGGAGGATCTTGTGAGCTGATGCCAGCCTAGGCTACATAAGTTAGTTTAAGGCCAGGCTGAACTACATAGTGAGACCCCGACTCAAACAACAGCAACAACAAGAACCTAAAAAGATAAATAGGCATAGAAATTCTGTCTCCTTGAAGTAGTGCATGCTTGTAATCCCAGCACTTGGGAGCTGAGGCAGGAGAATTCTGTTTTGGTTTATTGAGACAAGATCTGGCTATGTAGTTCAGCTGACCTTGACTCAAGGTCAAGCCTTTCAAGTGCTGAGATTTTCAAATGCATGTCACCATGTCCAACTAAGAACTGTTTTAGCCAGACTGAGCAATTTAGCATGACTGTCTCAAAAATAAAAAGGAGGATGAGGATATAGTGATAAAGCATTTGTTTAGCATGAGGGCCTGTGGTCAATCCATCCCACCACTACCACAGAAAGAAAGAAGAAAAGAGGGAAGGCGGGAGGAAGGAAGAAAAAAAGGAAGAAAAGAAAGTAAAAGAATATCCTTAAAAAGAATCTTGGGGCTGGGATTTAGCTCAGTGGCATAAGCACCTGCCTTGCAAGCGGGCGGTCATGAGTTTGATCCCTGGTACCGATTAAAAAAAAAAAAAATCTTCAGTCCAGATTGCTTTACTTGAAAATTTACTACACACGTAACACCACCAATTCTTTCATAAAATATTAAAGAACACCTCCTAACTATAAGGCCAATATTTTTGCACCAGAAGCAGTCAAAGACAGTATTTTAAAAATGGAATATTTAAAACTGGTTAACTGTTATAAAGTTACATGGAAGAATTCTAACAAAAAATGTTACCAAATCATACCGAGCAAGCAATATATGAGAAAAATTATGCATAGCACAGCCAAGTGAGACTTATTCCAAATATACAAGATTGATTCAATGATCAAAATAACAAGAATAATCTACCATATGTGCAGTGTAAAAAAGGAAAATCATAAACGCAAAAAGCATTCAACAGAATGTAGCACTCATTCATGAGAAAATGCTCCTTAAACTACAAATAGAGCAACAGCTCACTCAACACCCACAAGAAACCCATGCCAGCCAGGCTGGGTGGGGAGGAGCATTGCACAGAGGTGGGGTCATCTGAGCCCATGGGGCAGTTAGGAGCAGAATAAGACCTCAGTTCGTCCAGGCCCAGAACTGAAATAAAGCGAGAAGGGCTTTCTCACCACTGTTACCCAGTGAGGTCCTGGGAGTTATTTCAGAAACACGGATGCCAAAGACTGAAGAATCGGGAAGGGATGGGTGACAGGAAATAATATGTAGAATTGAATAGAAGCACACACAAATGAAAGAGTGTAAGGTTGGAAAAACTGAATAAGTTCTAAAGATTGTGCCAATTTCAGTTGTCAGGTTCGATGTTTGCTCCAGTTTCACAGGTTGGAGGTGGGGGAGATGAGGTGATGGGTATACAAGACCTCCCTCTGACATGCCTTTGCAACTTCCTGAGAATTTCTTATATTTCTCTAAACAAAAAGTTTCAAGCCTCCTAACTTCTCGAATTTGGTATCGCGTTCTTCTCTCCACCTTAAAAAAAAATTAGGTTACCAGTTTGTCTATATAGTGTTATTTTCAATAATATATTTCTCCACCTCCTTTTTAGACAAATGGTCTCCCTGTTATGAGTACTGTCGTCTGCTCTTTTGGTCTATTTTTCACTTGATAAGGATCATTTTGTATCAGTCATAAAAAGAATCTTTTCATGCTTTATTTTTTCAGAACAAGACATTATACTGATACACTTGGGTTGTCTGTGGTGCTGGAATTGAACTCAGGCCCAAGGGGGTTTATTAACCTTTTTTTTTGGTACCTGGGATCAAACTCATGACCTTTTACTTGCCAGGCAGGTGCTTACACTGCTGAGCTAAATCCTGGCCCCCAGCCCTGTTTTTCATTATATTCTGAATCAGACTCTTTACTGAATTTCACAGCCTGGCCTCAAACTTGGAGTCTTCCTGCCCGAGGCTCCCAAATAGTGGGAACTGTGGGCACTTTGTGTCACTTTGCACAATTATATTGATATATCCGTTTTCTGTTAACAAACTTCGAAGAACTGTTCGGAACCAGTTTGGGTCCCAGAGTGCTAGGATTATAGGAATGTTTTAGTGCTTTGCCTTTCGAGATAAGTTTTTTGGTACTGGAAATGGGAACTCAGGACCTTGTGCTTGCTGGCAGGTGCTGTATACCACTAAGTTATATCCCTGGCCCCTACCTTTTGAGATAATTATGTGGTATACAACCTTCCATGTTTGCCATTGGGTGAAACATGTCTTTAAAATGAATTTCTGGAAGTTGGATTGCTGGATTGAAGTTTTTCTGTAATGCAGTTTTCAGAGCCACTATCTCACCAGACTGCGCTGTCATTGGGGCCAGTTCACCAGTGTTGCCAGTAAGTTTACAACCCTACCTCAGCTCCGCCCAGTACTTACTTTCAAGTTTTAGAACATTTGATAATATGTTTGATTACAAAGAGCTTTGTTTTATTTTATTTTGCAACAAAGTCCCAGAGTCCTGGGATTATAGGTATGTACCATCAGTGGCTAAAGATAGCATTTCAGGCCCTGCCCAGCACTGCAGTGTCGAGGACTACTTTACTTGCTCTTTGTTTTGGTGCTGTGTTTGAGGTGGGGCAAAAATTTTGTTTGGGCTGGGCTGGTTTGAGAGGAGTCGTGCAGCCATCTACAACTACTACATGATAGACATAAAGGACACAAACACGGGGTCCCATATCCAGAAGATAAACACAGAGCTGCTGAGACATTGTTTGTACCTGAGGAGCCCAGGGAAAGGGAAATTTCTACCCCCAGATCAGTTTTTGGGAGGGAAGGCTGTGCATACTCTAGACTGTGTCTTACTGAGCTTTTTTGGAATGTGTTACCCAAGTGAAAAAAGAAAAAAAAAAAAAAGGCAATTTAACATAATTTTAATTTTCTTTTCTGTGATACTCAAGATTAGGCATCTTTTTCATATTTTCCTATAAACTATCTCCATATTCTTTTGTTCATTTTTTTTCTTGTGAGAGTCACTGGTTTGTAGGAATAATTTATACTGTAAGCTCTTTATAATGAATCTAAAAATTTTTTCTGTTTAGCGTTCGCCTTTTTCTTTTTTTAGCTACATGTAACTTTTTTGCCTCTAGATTTTGAACCTTTTGTCCCTTCCTAGCTAATTCCAAATGCCATGGTGCTTTAGTCCTTTCAGGCATAGCCTTGTTGAAGTCCGCAGCAGCCCCTCTGCCGGGAGCATGTAGTGCTGCCTTGCTGCAAATCTGGGTCACTGCTAGAACTGGAGCAGACTAACCTCACATCCTCCATGAGATGGTGCTTTACAGGACAGGAAGTAAGGGGAGGACTGTGGATGCTATTCTGGCTACTACCCCATCTCTCCACAACCTTTATTCTAAGAGACAGACTCCAGTTAAAGAGGTTTTTGTCCCTGCGTGCGCTGGTTGGGTGACAGTACCTCTTCACTGGTCTCAGGGGAAGGGAATCCAAACTTTAAGTGCCATTTCCTTCCTCTGATCATTTGTACAAACCTGCTTAGATTTATTCTCCACAGGGACAGTTCCCTGAGTCTTTGGAATCTAAAAGGGGCCTCTGTTACAGTGAGCACTTAGGAGTCTTGTCCGTCCTGCAGCAGCTCAAACCTGTGCAGTTGTTTTCGGAATGAAGTGGGAGTTAGTGCTCCATGTGCTATGCCTAGCTTTTTCAAAACAGATGTAAAAAATATTTGCTCTGAATAATTCCCAGTTTCCACCTCCTCAGGAATAGCCAGGCCAGAAGAAGGAAAGGAGGCTGTGAGTGTGACCGGAAATGACATCTCTACCCCACCCAACAAGGAACTCCCACCGAGCCCAGAGAAGAGAACCAAGGTAGGTGCCACAATGCTGATTATCTCCTCCTCCTGTAATTTACTTTACCTCCTGCTACTATTGCTTGAATCATGAATGTGTTTTCTTTTTTCTGAGCCAGTCTAAGTCTTTCCACAAGTGTGGATGTGCTTAGAAAATATGTTGATGGGGGTGAGCAAGGTCTTGCTATATAGCTGAGGCAGACCTTGGGCTCACTGTGTGGCCCAGACTGGCCTCAGACTCATTGCAGTCCTCCTGCCTTAGCCTTCTGAGCGTTGAGATTACAGGTGCTTGTGCTGCCACACTCAGCAGAAAATATCTTGGCATTCTCATTTTACCATAGCAGCCTACCTCAAACTGTATTTGTTTATTTGTTTTTGATGCCAGGGATCGAACTCATGATCTAACACTTGCCAGGCAAGCACTTTTTGTTGCCATTGAGCTAAATCTCTGGCCCCTTAACCCAAACTTTAAATGTTCTGCTCTTGATCCTTTTATCTTATATATCTATTATAAAAAATCCTGTTGAGTTTGTTTTTGCTTCCATTACAAAAAGAACAGTTGGAATACTCTGAAGTAGATGTTTATGAAAAGGGAATACAGAGTTTTAAGGTGGCCTGTAGCTTTAGACGCTTCCTTTTTTTTTCCTTTCCTTTTCCAGGCACTTTCTTTCTTTTTTTTTTTTTTTTGTCTTTTTCCTTTTTATCGGTACCGGGGATCGAACTCACAACTGCCTGCTTGTAAGGCAGGCGCTTATGCAGCTGAGCTAAATCCCCAGCTCCTCCAGACACTTTCTTATACCTTATACGTTATACTTCTTTGGAGGGGTGGGATTGAACTAATGACCTCATTTTTGCCAGGCAGGCACTGTACTACTGAGCTATATCCCTGTTTTTTTTTTTTTTTTTTTTTTGAGGCAAGGTCTTGTTATGTAGTTGAGGCTGGCCTTAAACTGACTATGTAGCCCAGGCCTGCCTCGAATTATCCTCAAACAGTCCTCCTGCCGCAGCCTTTCAAGTGCTGGGATTACAGTTGTGCACCACTATAACGAGCTACTTTCTTGTACTTTTTTTGAAGTTCAAATGCTACATGTCACGGTATAGTGACGTTGCCACATCAGGATGCAGGTAGTAGAGTTCAGTGTGGTGGTGGTATATGCCTATAGTCCCAGTTTTCTGGGAGTCTGAGACAGAGGATCACAAATTCAAACCCAGCCTGGACAACTTAACAGCTCAGCAAGACTCTGTCTCAAAAAAATAAAAAGGGCTGGAGATATAGCCTTGGATTTATTCTCCAGTGTTACAAATGAGTGACTAATGAACAGACAACCTCAGTACCATGGCATGTGCCTGTGATCCCAGTTAGCAGGAAGCTGAGGTAGAAAGACTGTAAATGCAAGGCCCGCCTTAGCCACATAGCTTGACTTAGGCTAAAAACAACAACAACAATAAAAACATCAACAAAGAAAAGATACCAGTAATAATGGCTTAATCACCTGCTAATAATTTCTTTGTGAAAGTATTTTACAACTTCCAAAAGTTAACTAGTAATATAAAGCTATTACTGATGTTAAATATTCAAGTGCCAAACTGCTGGGATTTGTGACACTGTCATTAACAAATTTCAAAGGGCTGGTGATGTACCTCAGTGGTAGAGTGTGTGATTATTATGTGTGAAGCCCTAGATTCAACCCCCAGCACCAAAAAGAGAAAAAACCTCCTCACTCTCTTTCTCTCTGTTCTGGTACTGTTTTCCTGCTTTCTGAGCTCAGAAGAAAGAAATGCTAATTTTTAGTTGCATCATCCTCCTTGTTTATAATTTTACTTTGAATTGTGCAATTTATGCTTTTTTATTTGTTTTTATTCTTGTCTGTGTGTTTGCTGTTGGTCTTTAAAAAATAAAAATATAAAAATATAAAAAAAACAACAATCGACCTAAAGCCTTTGGCCACCACTCAACCTGCAAAGACTTCAGCATCGAAAGCCAAAACACAGCTCACTCCTGTCCCTAAGCAGCCAGCTCCTACCACCTCTGGTGGGTCGAATAAAAAACCCATGAGTCTTGCTTCAGGCTTAGTACCAGCTGCCCCACCCAAACGCCCTGCTGCTGCCACTGCCAGGACTTCCACCTTTCCTTCAAGAGACACCAAGCCAAAGGTAAGTGCTCCCCGAGTCCCATGCCAGGGAACAGTTTCCCCTCTGTGAACCAGATGAGCCCTTCTTGCTGCCAGAGAAGGCTCAAGCTTACAGAATTGAGGACAAGGTAGGGTGCTTGTAGAATCAGTTTGGGTGTCCGTGGAGATAGCCTGGCCCTTTGAAACCCTTGTATTCTCTCTACCTTTTCTTGCCCCAGTTATAAGCAGTATTTCTTCTACTGCTGCCTTTTTCTGCGTTGTTCCTGACTCTGCCTATTTATGGACCTGTTAATCTTTTTCCCTGGATCAATATACTAATCAGATACTCCTTGTATATGTAATTCCCACATCAGATTTGATTGTTTGCCATTGTCTAATCCTGAGGAGGGGGATTTTTTGCATTATGTTAGTGATATCCTGGCCCTTCCAGCTGATCTCCATGTGTTCAAGCATCATGTGACAAGTTCCTTTGTATTTGCCATTAGGCCACTTCTCACTGGGCTGCTTCTGATGTTCTACAGCTTCCCAGGTCATCCTCACTTTCTGTGTCTTCCAGAAACTGATGTTTTTTTTGGTTTTGTTTTATTTTGTTTTTTGTCTTTTTGAGATAGGATCTCGCTATGCAGTTCAGGCTGGCCTTGAGCTCACTTTGTAATCCAGGCTGGTCTTGAACTTGGCAATAATCCTCCTGCCCCGGCTTCCCCAGTGCTGGGATTACAGGCATGCACTACCACACCCAGCTGCAGAAACTGATCATATTGTGAGCCACATTCACCTTACAGAGTTGTCCAGGGGCAGAGGCTGGGTGGAGGCGGAGCTGCCTCACTGCCTGCTCCTTCTGCTGGAGCAGGGCTGCAGGCCACTGCAGTGGGCCACAGTGGGCAAGTCTCTCCCACGTGAATGGGCCCACCAGCTAATTCACTCTGCTAAAGGAAAGTGGCGCAACCTAGGGATCGTAGGCTAGGTTGAAACCGTGGGCAAGAAACTGAGAAATGTTTTCATAGAGAAGGAATGATAAAATCTTAGAATGCTTTTGTCTGATCCTCATTTACCAAGTGGACTACTTCTCTGGATTTTTAGAAGTAATTTGTTTGAATGGGAGGGCATAGGACAGGTCGTCCTGTGACCCATTCAGCATTGGCTCCTGGGGACAAGGGAGGAGAGGTATCCAGTGAGATTTCAGTAATGAGACATACTCTCAGTTTCTCTGTATACATTAACTCCTTTAATTCTGATACACACAGTAGTATCTCCTTTAATTTATGATACACACAGTAGTATCTTCACATTGCAGTTGAAGGACGTTAAGCTCAGTAATGTCTCCTTCCTAAAGTTTGTGAACAAGCGGCAAAGCCAGTGCTTAAAGCTTGGGGATCTACAACTTTGTTTTAGTATGGCTTTTTTAGGTAGCATTTCAACCTGGCCTTGTTTTTTACATTAAAGACAGGTAGAAACTTTTCTGAGAAACTGATGGTAACAAAAGTCTAATAAAGTAAATTTTGCCTGTTATTTTGGTAAGTAGATGTATAGAAAAAAACAGGGAGAAGAACCATTTCTGAAAAATAAGTAGATCTCTGGCAGAGGAGAAAAATATAAACTGAGAAATAGCAAAATAACTTCAGTTATACAGGGTAGGCTGGCCCTGCAGCTTGCTGAGGCCAAGAGCCTGATGTCTGAAGGATTTTATATCCTTAAGAAATATCTACCTCAGGTGACATTTTTGCTTTGCTGTTTTATTTTGTTTTGTGACAGGATCTCATTGTATAGTTCAGTTGGCCTTGAACTCACTATGTAGCCCAGTCTGGCCTCAAACGCACTGGGATCTTCCTACCTAAAGTCTCCTAAAGTAGCTTTTACTAACTTATTAATACTCTTACTAGTGAATTACTAAGATCACATTAGATTTTTTTGATTCATAGTCATATTAAATGTTTGAGGAATATCTTAGAGAGCATCTGGCTTTGTTCTCAGATTTTCAAGTGATCAGCAAAGGCACTGCTCTGCATAAAGTCCTGTGTGGTAGCACAGACAATTCTTGATTCCAGTCTTAAAGTTCTTCACCCTGTACTCAGGTCTCCATTTGTGGAAATGGGCATTACTCTGCTTTGGCAGTTAGGCTTGGTTTGATAAGATCCCAGCCTGTCATTCATTCTTCCATTCCTTCAATTCTTTCATTGAGACAGGGTCTTGCTGCGCAGTTCAGGTTGGGTTTGAACTCACTATGTAAAGCCCAGGCTGGCTGCAAACTCAAGGCGACCCTCCTGAGTGTTGGGATTACAGGCATGTACCACCACACTCGGCATTGCCTGTAACTTCTGAGCACCGCCCTAGCACGCTCCATTTAAACACGGTCCTTGTCTCCATCAGTGCCCTGCCCTCGAGTGGCACTTCTCTTGGAGTAAGAAACCTGGATGCCCTCTGTCTGTGATTTGGCTTCCTGTTTCAAGTGACGTGCATGTTTATCAAAATAGTATCTTCATCTGATAGCTGTAGCTGCTAGGCCAGATTGATGCTTTTCCTTCCTAATTCTAACCCTCACCCTACGTTGCGTATTATCACAGCTGGTCCTTAGTAAGGTTCTATTCTGATCTCCTTTATGCACATGAGGAAAGTAAGCCCAGAGGGGCTCAGTGCTTTCCCCAAGTGTGGACTGCAAATGGGAGGTCAGATGAGGGCTTCTGACAGACAGAATGTGGTAGGGTAGCCCTGCCACATGCAGCGTGGTGCCATCTTGTTACATGCCCTCCGGTGCATGTCAGCCATAAGAGTGGTGGCAGTGGCTGAGTGTCACTGTCGTTTGGGTTCTGCTGACACACGGCTTTCGTCTTGTCAGGTCACACTGCAGTCTTATGCTTACAGTAGCTTCCAAGGCAGATGTGTGATGTACCTTCCAGGGCTCTTCGTTCACCCATCGTTGAGCTAGTCTGGCTTCATTTCCTTCTCTCAGACCACAGTGCACCCTCTAAGGCTGGTTTCTTGATTCGTCTAGAGGATCTGATTTGAGAGCTGTATACACTGTCAGTAACTGCCACACCCCCAGGGCCTCAGTCTCCCATGTAGGTTCGATCTTCAGTGGTGTGTCTTAGAGCTGTTGCTCACCTGCCACACTGATCCCTCCCATTTTCCTGCATCCAGCACATTACAGAGGCGAAGGTTCCTGAGAAGCAGGCCCTACCATCCAAGCACGCCTCAGCCCTGGCTTTCCGCTCGGGGCCCAAGAGCATCTCAACTGCTCCGAAGGTTGCATCAGCTGCTGCTCCTGCTTCCACAGGGCCAAGCAGTAGAAGTCCTCCAGTGTCAGCGCCCAAAAGGCCTGCTGGTGAGTATTACCTGTCCCTCTGTCCTTTGAGGACCACCAGAGAGCAGGCTGTCTTGGGTATTTACCAGCCCTGATCTCCATGTGAGCTTAGAAGCCCATGCATATTCAGAAACAGTAAAGAGGAATCTTGTGAAATCCCAGGTAAAATTTATTGTTCATATCCCTAGTATTCCTACAGTTCCCAGTGTATTGTGACCATATGTTTAAGTGATACTAAGAAATAACCCAGGCTGGTGATGCATACTTATAAAACTCTGGGAAGCTGAGGCAGGAGGATCAAAAGTTCAAGCCCAGCCTGGGCCACTTAGACTCTTAGCAATTTAGACCCTATCTCAAAACAAAGAGTATGCCAGGCATGATAGCATATGCTTATAATACCTGTAAGCTGAGGCAGGGGGATTGCCACAAGTTTGAAGACAGCTTGAATTACACGCTAAGACCCTCTTTCAACAAAACAAACAAACCAAAACAAAAGACAAACGGTGTGTGTAGCTCAGTGTGAAGGCCCTGGCTTCAATCCCAGTACTACTAAAAAGGGAAATTCAGTAAAACACAGTGAGGCTGGGAATATATAGTGAGTTCAGGGCTAGCCTGAACTGCAAAGCAACACCCTGTTTAAAAAAATTCCCAGAAAAACAAAATAAAAGGGCAGTTCAGGATTCAGTGGAACTCAGTGGTACTTGCCTGGCGTGGATAAGATCATGGGTTCAATCCCCACCACTGCAAGAAAAGGAGAAGAGAAGAAAAGAAAAAGTAGGAAATTCCCCTTCATCAGTACATTTTGATCACCTGCGTTAAGGCTATGGGAAAGACACTGTCAGGACCACAGGGAATAGGGAGACTTCAGGGCTATGCCGCATAGTCCAGCTCAGAGCAGACATCCATTGATTGTTGAATGGACAATGAATCTTGGTATTGGATGCACCCTTTAGGTTTTTAATGCTGTCTCCTGTTTTTGTGTTACATTCTTTATTTTAGTCCTTGTTTTTCGGACATAATAAATATATTGATCACATCTCCATCCTTTGGTTTGTTTGTTGAATGTGGTATTATTATGTTTGTGCAGCTCTTAAGACGGAGGGCAGACCCGCAGACACTAAGAAGATGACGGTGAAGTCCGCACCAGGTAATGCCCAGCCTGCTGCAGAAGCCCAGCTTATATCCACTCTGCTTTCAGGCTCCTTTTCCTCTTCTGCTCTTAACCCCTGCTACCTGTCTTACTGTCTTACAGCTGACTTGAGTCGCACCAAGGGTACCCCTACCAGCTCTGGGAGGAAAGCCACCACTCCTACAGGAGCAGCTCCTCTGGCCACAGTGGCCCCCACTCGAGTCAAGCCCACCCCACTTTCCCGGCCCTCTGTGTCTCCTTCCGTGGACAAGAAGCCCACTGCAGCCAAGCCCAGCTCTTCTGTCCCCAAGCTGAGCCGCCCAGCCACTGCAGCCCCTGCCCCTGATCTGAAGAACATCCGCTCCAAAGTTGGCTCCACAGAGAATATCAAGCACCAGCCCGGAGGGGGCCGGGTGAGTCAAGGCTTCCATCCTGGGCACACCACCTTGCTTCTCTACTGCCTCCTCCACTGCAAAAGGCTGCCAGCTGCAGCACGTAGCCTTGGGGACCTCAGCTTGGCTCTCTAGTGGCAGAGAAGGGGTGGGATGGACTCCATGCTTGCTTTTCCCATCTTGGGGACTCCTTTCTGTACCTGGGGGTTTAGGTTGACATCTTTGTGTGGAGGCCTCAGACTTCAAGAATGCTGGATTCTTAGCTTACACAGTGAGTGTCAGGGTAGGTAGAGGTTGGAGCCCAGCACAGTTCTGCAGCTCTAGCTGGGAGGCACTATCTGGAAAGGGCTTCAGGCTTCCTCTGTGGCCAGGCCAAGCTGTGTTGCTGTTCGCCCCATTCCCCTTGTCTCTGTTCTTAGGCTTTCGTGATGTCAGAGTTAAAGTCTTGAGTAACTTGGTCTGGTGGTTGAATTCTGTTTTAATACATCGGAAATGTGTGACACTCATGCCACCTGCATGGCTCCCTGTGGCCATGGCAACTCATATGAGGCACATAGCAGCACTTTAGAGTGGGGCACTGCTGCCTGGAAATGCTAAGCTCATGCACACTGGTGAGGTCTCCCTGGCCTTGTTCACAGCCTTGCCGCAAATAATGTCCCAGCTGCTTGTATGTGGCTCGAGACTTGGTTGTGAGGCTCTTTTTCCCATACTCCTGTGCTCAGGGTCTCTGGCTTGGTCTGTCCTAGGAAAGGGGTGCTTTTTTCTACAGCCTAGGAAAACCTGCTTCTGCCTCGTGGCTTGGCCTGGATTTGAGTTCTTTACGGCCTTCTTTCATTCTTGGCATTTAGGCTCTTTCATCCCCTTGGTTTGAAATTTGCCCTCCCTTTATCTCCATCCAGGCCAAAATAGAGAAAAAAACAGAGGCGGCACCCACAGCTCGAAAGCCTGAACCTAATGCAGTCACTAAAACAGCTGGTCCTATTGCAAGCACACAGAAATCGCCTGCTGGGAAAGTGAGTTTTATTTAGACTCACTCTGGGAGGTAAAAAGATGGTAACATTTTTCTTCTAGCCCGATCCACTTTCTAAAGCACAACAGAATTTTACTTTTTCACTGTCTTTAACTAGCTTCCACTTAATCTTCGCTGTTTCCTACTCTGCCTGACACCTCACCCATCAGGAAAGTTTTGCATTAACCCTGAGAGCACAGAGTTGGAAACTTATTAGCTGTTTTTTATTTGGGTGTAGAGGAGTGCTAGGGATCAAACCAAAGGATGCTGTATCAAATCAGGTACACCCCAAACCCTTTTTTAAATTTTTATTTTGAAACTGAGTGTGGTATTGCACACCTGTAATCTCAGCACTTGGGGAGCTGAGGCAGAAAGATTGTAACAAGTTTGAGGCCAACCTGGACAACTTAGCAATTTAGTGAGACCCTATCTCAATAAAATAAATATAAAAAAAGAGCTGGGGGTGCAACTTGGAGCATGGGTTTAGTCATTCATACATAGAAGGAACCAAGAACTTTGTCCCCTCCTTTTCTGACAATGAGCTAAAATCCAGCTGGCACACAGGCGGACCTATGACAGCCCAGTTACTGCTCAGAAGATAGGGCCCACCTGAGTCTCTGAGGCCCCTCTTAAAACTGCTGCCTGCCACAAAGCTTTGTTTGTCCTGGTTGCCACGTCGTCTTTAGCTGCAGACTTGGGTGCTCAGCCTGAGAGGTCTCTCAGCCAGGAATTCGGCAGAGGCGAATGGAAGAAACCCTAGGCCCCTGTACCACAGGCACAGCCCGGCCCTAGGGTCCAGGTGGGGAAGTCGCAGCCAGTGGAACCCACATGGTAGCTTCTGGTCCCTTTGAGAGGCCTGTGGGTCATGGTTCAGACAGAACTCATTCCTCATCACTGAAGTCGGGAGGAAGGCAGGCAGCAAGGCATGTTGGAGTTTTTCAGGGCGGATTTCTGTATCCCATGAGGAGCTCTGCAGCCTAGAGGCTGCAGCATTTGTGAGGCATAAAGGAAGGAAGGAAGCTGGCAGCTGTTGCTTCCCAGGAACGACTCTGGTCCAGGCCTCAAGAGCCAGCGCCATGTGATTGTACTAAGAGTTGCAGATCTGCCTACAACTGTTCTCACTGCACATAAAACCCATAGGATGCTGGGGCTGGGGATTTAGCTCAGTGGCTTAAGCGCCTTCCTGGCAAGCACTGGGTCATGAGTTCAATTCCCGGCACCAAAGGAAAAAAAAAAAAAAAAAGAAAACTCATAGGATGCAACATTAGGCATCTAGAGGGTTCTAGAAGGAAGGGGTATTGGACCTTGAAATCAAAATTAAGTTCTACCTTGGCAGGTAACATGTGCCTATAATCCTGACTACTTAGGCGGCTGAGGCAGGAGGATAGATCACAAGTCTAAGCCCAGCCTGGCAGTTTATCAGGACTCTATTTAAAAGCCAAAAAAAACAGAGGGGGTGTTTGGTTGGGGTTTTGCTATGCATAAAGCTCAGTGCAGGTCACTGGGTTCAGTCCTCAGTCCCACAAAAATAAAATATGTAGGTTGGGTATGATGATAAAGCCTATAATCCCAGCACTCTGGAGGCTGAGGCAGAAGGACTGCTGTCAGTTTGAGGCCAGCCTTGGCTGTATAATGAGACTCTGTCCCATAAAGCAAAAAGAATTACAGCTCTATCTGTTGCTGTCTTCTTCCTTGAGCCTTGAGACAGATGGGCTAGGTATAGGGTTGGCCATGGGGCCTGTGTTCCCCCTGCTGACCAGCATCTGTATCCGTTTGTGGTTTCCTATGTGCATCACCTCTTCCTTTCCGCCAGCATAAGCTTCTCAGAGCAGTGTGGCTGCACCAGCTCCAGGCCCCTGACTGAGAGTGTTGGAGCAGGTACAAAGATCAGCTCTCCCTCACAAAGCCCAGGAGCCTGTGCCTGGCTTGTGCGTGGTCAGGCAAGGCAGTTGAGTGGGTCCAGGACAGCTGCCATCCGAACCTTGTGCGGCACAGCCCTCGAGGCCCCTGCTGTTATGTCGCTTGTTCATGTGTTTCTTCCCTTGCTTGCTCCTTCCAAGTCCTTTTCCTGTGCTTTCCCACACCTGTTCTGTCACAGGTAGGGATGGAGGGCACATCCCCTCCGGCTGTTACTTTGGTCCTGTGCAGACTCCTGGCCTGCCCCGTGTCACTTCTAACCAGCCATCTCCCTTTGTCTTGTTTTTTTCTGTTCTCTAACATTCCAGGTCCAGATAGTCTCCAAAAAAGTGAGCTACAGCCATATTCAGTCCAAGTGTGGTTCCAAGGACAATATTAAGCATGTCCCTGGAGGTGGGAATGTAAGTATACACGCTGGCATCTGAGACGCAGACTCCTGTGGGGGCCTGCCAGGCAGGGTGGTCTCGTGTGGGCAGGACCCTGGCGGCCAGGCTACAGCTATGGGCAGGAGGCAGAACAGCTAATGGAGGGGTGATTGGGATGCTGGGGGTGGAGGACTCGGTGTACTTGGAGCCCTGAGGCCACGCCAGTGACACTCACATGATTTCTCTGCCATGGGCAGTTGCCTGGCAGAGCACCACAGGCCTGCCATCCTCCTGGGCCAGCCCCTCCTCCCATGGCCGCTAGCTCTCCCCACCTCTATCCTTGAGTCCTGGCCTTTGTAAAGTCAGAATTAGTCAGATTTTCTTCCTCCCCGCTCCTAGGCTTTCCCCTTTATACTGATCACTGCTCCTCTTCTCTTCCCTTTTCTTTCTTTCCCTACTGTCTTTTCCCTTTGTACTCAATTTTCCCCTCATTTCTCCTGTTTCAGTCCTTTGATTGCACATACTGCAACCCCAGCATTCTGAGAGGCTGAGACCAGAGGATCTCAACTTTGAGCCCAGCCTCTGCAGCTTAGCCAGACCCTGTCTTAACACCCTGTGCATTCCTTGAGACAGTGCCCACCTGGGCTCTGCAGAGCTGCACCAGAGCTGTGTTGTGGGCCACAGCGAGCCTTAGCCCGTGCTGCTTCTCTTCAGCCTCAGCAAGAGAGAACATCCCGTGTGTGTTTCCCTGCCTTCCTGTCTCAACAGGTTGGCACCCCATCCCACCCTCATTTAGTTGTCTCACCCAGTGCCCGTGTTTCCAGGGCTCAGTGCTCTGCCCAGTCTCGCCGCATCCGTAGCCACACTGAGAGACTTTGGTCTCCGTGGGAGCCTGGCCCCCATGTGCCTGTGGGGACTCTCAATCTCCTCTTAGGTTCTTGGCCCTAAGGAGACAGAAAGCAGTTGGCTCCCTGGAGTGTGCAACACAGGCTGCTTTACGTGCAGCATGCTGGGTGCGCAGGAGCTCTGAAGATGGCCAGTCGCCCTATGCAATCTTTCCATGCTCCTTACACCTGGCTGCCTGCGGGATGCTCCTCAGTGCGCGTATACTGTTTAGGGCTCGTGCAAGACAGCACTGGGAAGCCCCTTTGAGCAGTGTTTGCAGGCAGCTGCTTGGGGTGAGGTGTGCCTCCATCCCCACAACCCTAGAACACCACTGCCACTGACAGCACTGCCGTGCACACCAAATGCTGCTGCGCACGCACGTACACGCACAATTCTGCCCGTGTGGGTTACAAGCTGGTGTCAACAGCACCCCAGTTGCACACAGACACAACCTGATGAGAGGCAGGGCTGCAGGGAGGGACAGATTCATTTGTCCAAAGTAGTAGCGTCAGGGACAGGGCCAGATTACAATGCTGCCAGTGCCCCTTTTCAGCAGAGGTTGGTCATGAGCATGCGCAGTAGCCGTGCAAGGATTTACAAAAGCAGAGTGCCTGGTGGTTGCTGCACACCAAGAAGGCGTCCCTTGAAGAACTCATGCAACTTTGCTGGCTGCAGGCAGCACTGGGGAATGGGTATTTGGGGCAGCTATAAAGGGCGTGCAGCACATGGCTCCCAGAAGATGGAGCGCAGGACTCACACCCAGGGCTTGAGATAACTGAAGAGGAGAAAGTGTTTTCATTGCCCCTCACAGGAGGGAGACCCGTGGCCCAGAGGAGGGGTCCTTGTTAGGGGAATGAGCTCAGGCTCTTGAGAAAATTTTATTATAGAAATTTAAAAGATGTGTAAAAGGAAAATCTACTCACATGAATTGGTCCGTGTCTCATACAGCCCCGTTTTCTGTCTGTAAGGCTAGTGTTTATCACTGCCTCCTCCTCCTTGATGTATGCGCCAAGGTATGTTAGTGACAGTCTCTTTAAATCCTAATGTTCTTCTCCACAAGTGCTCCTCTGTATTTTTCTCCCCTCAGCACTTGGGGTTGAACCCAGGACCTTTGTACTGCATACCCAGTTGTATGCTTTTGTGTTGAGACAGTTTTGCTATGCAGTTTGGGCTGGCCTTAAACTCAGCATCAATCCTTTGGCTCAGCCTCCCGAGTGCTGGCATTACAGGCATGTGCCACCACACCCGGTTCCTTTTCTATTTCTTTTTTTTTTTTTTTTTTTTTTTTTTTTTTTTTTTTTTTTGTCTTTCTCATTTTTATCGGTACGGGGGATCGAACTCACGACTGCCTGCTTGCAAGGTAGGCGCTTATGCCGCTGAGTTAAATCCCCAGCCCCTCCTTTTCTATTTCTTATTTTGCTGCAAAGTCTCATTAGTTTGGGGCTGGGGATTTAGCTCAGTGGCATAAGAGCCTGCCTTGCAAACGCGTGGTCGTGAGTTTGATCCCTGGTACCAGTGTAAAAAAAAAGTCTCATCATTTTTCCCAGGCTGGGCTCAAACTTGTGAACCTCTTGCCTCAGGCTCCCAGAGTGCAGGGAGGACAGACTGCGCTCACACCTGGTTTTTGGTGCATCAACCTGCCTTTTGATTAGCGGGCTGTCCTCGAATCTGGGTTCTGCTGGTTACATCGCATGCTGTTTATTTGTCTCATCACTCCTTAGACTCTGCGTCTTCATGTAGATATGTGTACCTGTGTGGATACGTGCATTCCCACTGCTGTGTGTTGCTGGGGCGGGAGCATGCTGAGCTGCACCCAGCCTTTATGTTTCATTTTGAGACAGTTTCATGTTCAATTGCTCAGAGAGGCCTCTAACCTGGAATCCTGCTCCTACTTGGCCTGAGTAGCTTCCACGCCTGTTAAAATTAGCTTTTTGCATTTCCCCCTCAATTTTGGCAAGGCCTCGTCCTGTGGTTGTTACACTCTTGTGATTTTGTCAGTACCTTGGTCTGTGGGCTCAGGTGCACCGAGATGTGAGTCTCCCAATATTGCTTCCACCATTGGCTGGATTACATCTGTTAAAACTTTCCTTTACCAGCTGTCCCAGCAAAACGGCGTCTTGCTGTGTAGTAAAGGCTGGGCTCAAACACCTAATGCTCCCACATCACATCCCAGGTAACTCTGGCATTACAAGCCACTACACACCTCAGCCAGGACCAGTGATTCATAGATGGGGTTACAGGCTTGTGTCGCTGCATCTGGGTCCTGGAGGGTGAGGCAGAAGATAAACAAATGGAGGCTCTGAGTGTAGACCACCATCTTGGGGTGTGTGGCCCTGTGGGCAGCCGGGAGACGCTGCTGCAGTAGCGGCTGTCAGGCCAGAAGCCGATGCTCTTCCCCAGTGCTTTAAGGTGTGCCATCAGGCCTGCTCACTAGAGGCCTGCTAGGGGCCCTGCAGGAAGGGCATTTTGGACAGACTGTTAGCTGCCTTAAAGGCAGGACTAAGCTTAGGGACACCCAGATCACTCTCTAACCCAGAGCCTAGCTGTGTGACTCACTGGGGAGTTTTATATTTTCTAGGGACAGGGACTCACTGTTCAGCCTGGCCTTAAACTTGTGATGGGTTTCATGCCTTGGACTCTGGAATGCTGAGATTACAAAGTTGTACATCACTGTGCCCGACGGGATTAAATAAGCTTGGAAGGCAGTCAGGGCAATCACCTTTAGTCTGGTTTTGTTCTTGCAATACCGAGGATTGAACATAGGGCTTTGTAGTGCTACATCCTCGGTCTTTTTTTCTTTTTTTTTTTTTTCCTTTAAGCAGTGGTAAAATTTATTTGAAAAAGAGAGAGAGAGAAACTGGCTCTGCAAAGCAAGCTTAGCTCAAGTAAAAGAGGAAAACACAAAATACGAGTGCAGCCTGGAAGAAGCAGGGTGGGCTATTGCGAGGCAAGCACACCCTGGGCTCACACAACACTGCCCTGGAGAGCAGGAGAGGGAGGCACAGGCAGGTCAGTCATCACTTACAGCTCTGATCCCAGCACTTGGGAGGCTGAGGCAGGAGGATCCCAAATTTAAGTCTCACCAGAACAGTTTAGTGAAAGTATCTGTCTTGGTTACTTTTTTCTTGTTGCTGAGCAAAAACCTGACACCAGAAATGAGGAAGGAGAGATTTAGTTAGCTCACTGTGGAGGTTTCAGTCCATAATCAGCTGGCTCCAAGGCAGGGTGGCGTGGCACTGTCACAGCGCTTCAAGGCAGCAGGCAGAGCAAGGGAACAAGCCTCTTCTCCCTTACATTGTACACAGGCCACCCCATGCAGGGCACATGTAACACTCACAAAATCTCTGTGGCCTCCTATTGCACAGGATGAGGACATATACACAGTAAAGATAGTGGTCCCTGCTGAGTCTCTCAGTTAAACTTCTAAAATGCTCAAGCTGACAGAGTGTAGTGTCTGAAAATGCAAAGGGCTGAGGGTGTCTCCATGGTATAGTGCCTCTAAGAGCACTCCTCCATAGATTGCCCTGCTTTTGGGTTTGAACCACAAAAAGAACAATAATAGTAATAGCCAAAGGCACTGAAGTATAGCACTTTTCTCTTAGAAGTTAGGAGGTTTGAGTTTTGGTAAGAATGTGCAGTGCTGGGAGGTTGTGAGACGGTCTGAGCCGCCCTGGTGATTATCATTGGCAGCACTGCAGGAAAGCAAGTTGGCATCAGGAACCTGAGAGCAGTGATGGCGCATGCCTATGACCCCAGCGTTTAGGGAGGCCGAGGCAGGAGAGTTACTGACTGGAGGCCCTCCTGAGCAGCGCACCCAAACCCTATCATGAATACAACTCAGAAGCCCTGGGAAAAACAGTCCCAGGCCTTGACCAGACATCTCGCCCAAGAAAGAATCAGTCATAAAGATCATTTTGCTGTGTTTGTAGAAATGGAAAATGGACCAGGGATTTAGCTCAGCAGTTCAAGTGCTTGCCTGATTAGTGTGAGGTTGTGAGTTCCAGGACACAAAACAAACAAACAAACATAAAGAAAAGAAAACCAAAAAACAACCTCCATGGTTAACATTGGGACCCGTTGATACGGAATATGATGGTTCTGCGTCCTTCCTTTGCGTTTCCATCCTTCATGGGAAACTGCTGACTGCCTGCGTCAGTGAGAGTGGGAAATTACATTCGCCCCTGCTGTCAGGAGGAGGGCTCATGCGTGTGCTGCGTGGTTGGCATGCTGGCTTCTGGGAAGTGGAGGCAGGAGAGTTACAACTGAAGCCTAGCCTGGACAACTTTGTGACTTAATGAGACTGTCTCAAAATTTAAAAATGAATGGGGTGGGGATGTAGCTACTGAGTTCAACCCCAGTACCACCTCCACCACTCTGTCATGCCTCCCAAAAAAATGAAAGGAAGGAGACAGGCGAAAATACTACTCCAAGTGATTTCTCTGGACAAGAGTCGATGAGGGGGATTTTGAGTTGGAGCAGCAGGGACATTTCAGGGAAACTGTGCTGTTGGGCTGGATGCAGGGCGGATGGGACCAGGATGCAGGACAAGAACTGTGCGAAGTCTCTGGCCCTGCCCACAACTGTGGGGAGGTGAGGAACAGCACCGGACAGACCTGGGTACATTTTACCCACTGGGTAACGACCCTGGCCTTGACCAGACCATGGTAGGAGCTTAAAAAGGATGAGAGGAAGCTGTGTGAGGAGAAGGTGGCACAGAGGAGGCTTGGATGTCTCCTCCCCTTCCCCTCTGTCCAAGCCACCTTGAGCTTTCTGTTCCTCTGCAGGTCCAGATCCAGAGCCAGAAGGTAGACATCTCCAAGGTCTCCTCCAAGTGTGGTTCCAAGGCAAACATCAAGCACAAGCCCGGTGAGTGGGACTTGCGCACAGGTGGCGCCCTCCCTGTGGGCGTAGTGTGTCCCCTGTGCCTCCACCCCTGCAGCCTGTTTGCTTTTCTTTGTAGTACTGGGATTGAGCCCAGGGCTTCCTGCTGAGCTGTATCCCCACTCCCTCATTTTAACACTGGAGACGGGGTCTTGCAAGTTGCCCAGCTATGCTTGAACGTGTAGTCCTGTTGCCTCAGCCTCCTAGAGGGCTGGGATCCCAGGCCGCCTCATTTGGGCCTCCCCCATTCCTGGCGTGGACCCACAGTGCCCGTGTGGGCTCCCTCTAGGCTTCTGGCATTGCATGCACAGGGCTCATTCCCCTGGTACCCTCTGTGACCAACTCCTCCCTGGTCTCCAGGTGGAGGAGATGTCAAGATTGAGAGCCAGAAGCTGAACTTCAAGGAGAAGGCCCAGGCCAAGGTGGGATCCCTGGATAATGTGGGTCACCTGCCTGCAGGAGGCACCGTGAAGGTAGTGAGCCAGTTGCGGGGGTGGGGGTTGTAAGGTAGGGAGGTGTGGGACAGGGCATTGGGATCAAGGACCTGGCAGGTCTCTCAGTAAGCATGCCTGCCAGAGAATTAGTGTGGGACAGAGAGAGTTTACTCCACAGCATTGGTTGGCACCGCCCCTCAGTCTCCAAGAACCATTCCTTCACCCCACTGTCACTGTCTCCCATTTTCGCCATCTGCAGCTGGCGGGTGAGGCAGGAGAGGGGGAGCCCTGGCAGCCGCCCTGCTAGGTGGGCTGTGCAGAGGCTCTTTGTCTTGGTGCCAACTGGGCTTCCTCTCTCCCTCTCCCCACTGGCCTCCAGCCTCCACCCTCCACAGTGCTATGAGACCCTCTCTGTGCCAAGGTGCTGTCTGTCCTTCATTCCGTGTCATGGCATCTGGGGACCATGGGCAGTGTCCTCATGGGCTGTCTAGTGTGAGGCTATTGCAGCTGCTCTGGTGGACTAGCAGGAGACAGGAACTGCCACTCACCCCATGTTGGCTGTCCCGGCCTCTCCAGGTGCCCATCTGCATGGCATCTGCCCGCCTCTATCACGCTGCCTTTGGCTCAGTTTCTGCCAGACCCGCTGGGCATCCAGACCAGGAGGCATCAGCCTCTGACCCCAGGCCTTGTGGGGCTGGTTAATTGGCCAGCCTGAGCTCACACTTGAATCCTCCTGCCTCAGCCTCCCAGACTGCTGGGATGATAGGCATGTACCACCATGTTCAAGTTGTGTCTTTTTTCTTTCTTTATTCTTTTTGGTATTATTTTTCTACCTGTTTATTCTCTCTGTGCTTAAAGCCCAAGGAGGAGCCTCCCCCTTGCACTCCCTCCCCTCTGCCCTCCCCACGTGGAGCCTGGTTTGTCCCTGCTCCTCCATGCTTGTTCGGAAGCTTCAGGTCCTCCCCGCTCTGCTTCCTGCACACCTTCTTCCAGCAGCCTTTCCCCTGGGCCCAGAGTAGGCAGTGTCAGTGGGGTGCGATCACCCAAGTGGACCAGGTTCCGAGGACCTTGCCGAGCATATGCTGCCCCGAGGTGGCTCCTGCCTGTCACTGCCTGGCACACTGTGGCTGGGACAGTCTGTCCCATGGGTGCCGAGGGAGGACCAGCACTGGGAGGCAGAAGGAAGGGTGGTGGGCGGGGACTGCGTGTGACACCACTGCCATCACCATCCCACTCCCTCCTCACTGACCCCCGCCGTCTCCATGTTTCATTGTAGACTGAGGGCGGTGGCAGCGAGGCCCCTCCGTGTCCAGGGCCCCCCATTGGGGAGGAGCCCGCCGCCTCTGAGGCTGCGCCTGATGCGGGCGCCCCCGCTCCAGCTGGTGGCCTCAGTGGCCTCATCACCCTGTCTGGGGGTGGTGACCAAAGGGAGGCCCAGACCTTGGACAGCCAGATCCAGGAGACAAGTAAGTGGCCGGGCTCGGCCTGAGGGCCAGCCAGGGGCCCCGCCACTGGCCAGAAATTGAACTCCTTTGTTTTTTACTAGAGTGTGGCCTGAATTTTAACAAAGTTACCTTTTATTTTCCAGGCATCTAATGATGACATTCTGGTCTCGTCTTCCGTCTCCCCTTTTTCCCTCCTCTTGTCTTCCCCATTTCCCCTCCCGCCCCTCCTCTCGTGTCCCTGCAGATTGAGACCTACAGGCTGACCTTCCGGGCAAACGCCAGGGCCCGCACCGACCATGGGGCCGACATTGTCTCCCGGGCCCCTCACTTCCCTGGCTCCCGAGCCCTTGGCCCCCTCTCCCGGGCTGCCCACTAGACCTGTGAGTGCCCACTCGGGTGCCAGGCAGCTCTGCTAGGCCCCACCCGTAGCACCAGGCAGCAGCTGGCCTGGCCCCTTCCTGCTTTGCTCCTGTCCTGATGCTGGCCACTGCCCTGCTGTGGGTTAGGCAGGGGAGTCGGGGGGACCTTGTGGGATTTAGGAGGGAGGAACTGGATTCCTACTCCGTTGTTTGGTTTTTTGGACCAAACCTGAAAGAAACTGACACACCCTCCCTCCTCCCTGGCCAACCTGGAGGGATGAGCGGGGCAAGTTCTGGGCAGTGACCCTGCGCCGGCTGCTTCCCTAGAGCCTCCTAAGCCTCCACTTTTCCCTATGTCCCCACGATGGTGCCCTCCTGCTCCCCCGCATTAGTTAGGGGCCATGCTGCACGCTGCTGCTCACCGAACCTGCCTAGCTGCCTTCTCACCCTCCTTTCTCGTTCCTTAACCTGTAGCCAGTGGAGCAGCTGTGGAGGTCCAAGCCATGTCTAAGTGAGGGTCTCAGTAGGTGCAAAGGGAGTGGAGAGGGAGAAGCCAGGCCTCCACCAGGAGGATGAGGGTGTTGGTGCTGCCCTGCTTGGGGTGGCATGGGACTCTGGACGCTGGGGGCAGAGACGTGAGGCGCAGCCTGGGGATGGGCCGATGGCATGGGCTGGTTGTCTTGGCGTTTCTTCATGTGTATGCTGCTTCCTTTTCTAACAAGAGGCTGGGTTTGGCATCCGTCTGTCAATTCCCTGGGATTTGGTGATCACCATTTGATGTGAGGGCAGTGCTGGAGAAGCAGGAGAGGACTGTGGGGTCAGTATCCTGCAGCCTGACCTGCTACCCAGGGACACCCAAGGTCTCCCCCAGGGGACCTTGAGATGTCCACTGTCATATGGACAGTGGGGAATCAGGTCTGGAAATTGGAAAACAAAGCATGAGACCAGGGCCACCCACTCCCTTCTGGCCTAGTGGAAAGGCCAGCTGCAAGGAGATCCCGGGGATCGTATGGACACAAAGAATCTTATTGCACTTGTATTTTTTGTATTAAAAGTTTGCATGGTTTCTAATAAAGGATTAAAACGTTAAGTTTGTACTGCAGTGGCCTGGGAGCTTGAGGGCTTCACAGGGGCATTTCCTGCTGTGCAGACTTGCCTCAGAGGTGGAGGTGGCGGCGGCCTGGACATCACTCTGTCCCTCCTCAGAACCTTCCCCGGGTCCCTGGTGTCCACGTCAAGGGTGGGTGGCCATGTGTCTGAAGTGCTTGTCCCCTGGGGAGGCACCTTCTGGACAGTGAGCTGGCCTGGCGTGTTCATCCTGTGTGCCCTGTCAGCAGCGACAGGGCACCGGGCCCCAGCAGGGAAAAGGAAGCAAGGAACGTGAGAAGGCGACACACTGGCCCTGAAGGCCCCAGCCCCTCCCTAGGGTTGATCCTCTGAAGGCCACTGCTGCAGGTGCTGACAGGCTCCGAGTCCTTGTCCACTGTTTGGGGAAAAACCAAGAGGTGATACAGCTTTCCAGGCCAGGCCACGAGTCTTCCACAAAAGGCTGTCCTGCAAGCCAGAGGACCTGCAAATGCCACTCTGACAGATGGCATCAGTCCCTGTGTGACGTGCTACTTTGCAGCCATCAGGGCTGGGACATCTCTGTACATCCCAGCTTGCCGTGTTTCAGCCACTCCTGTGTCTGTGATTCTGTTGTACTGATTTTAAGAGTAAATAAAGCTGCCTGATATTCCACACCAGGCCCTGTGTAGCCTCTGTCAACCCCCTGCTCCCCAGGGGCCCAACATGCATCTTGCACACTGGTCTGTGTATGGTCACCATGCCGGGTGGGCCTTAGTGGCCTGGCAGAAAGTTACTTGAGGGGGTTGGGGATGTGGCTCAGCGGCAAAAGCACCTGCCTAGCAAGTGCAAGATTGTGCATTTGATTCCCAGAACACATGCACACACATCCCAGTCCCCAGGAACCTGCTCCATACCATCTGACTGCAGGCTGGTGACCAGCAGGCTCCAAACCACAGGCCTGATGGATAGAGAGGTCCCACCACCCTGGGGCAGGGTGCTGTGGCCCCAAGAGCGGCGCCCGTACTAGAGAGCGATGCTCACAAGGGATAAATAGAACTTTATTTTAAATAAACATTTGCACTCTGTACACAGCCCCAGCGGAAGAGGGGCTCAGTCTTCAGCCGTCTTGCGCACGTCAAAGCTGCCACAGGGTCCCCGCAGCAGCTCCGCCACCAGCGCAAGCAGCTGCCCGTGCTCCTGCTGCACACTGGGCGGAAGTGCGGCCAGCTCGCTGCGCAGGCTGCGCTCCACCATGCAGCCCAGCGCCCTGCGCAGCTCCCGAAGCAGCCGCACAGTCCTTGAGTCGCCCTCCAGTCGCAGCAGGTCGCTGTCGCTCAGGGAGATGGTAGCACGCCGCCCATCGTCTGGGAGAAAGAAGATGGCAGGGAATGGGCGGGAAGCCAGGCCCAAGGGCTCAGGACAAGGATGGGGCAGAGGGTGGAGCACACACCCCGGACATGGATGTCCCCATCCGTCAGGAGCAGCACTGCCAGCGGGTGCACCTGGGAGGAGTCCCGCACAAAGACACTGCCATTGGACTTGACGGCCATGAAGTACGTCAGCCACCGGCTCCTCAAGCGCGTGGCCTCCCTAGGGAAGTGACAACAGGTGGGTGAAGCTGCCCCTTGCCCTCTGGACCCCTCTCTGGTCCTGCCTGTCCCCTACCTGTTAATGGTTGACTTGTGCAGCAGGATGTTGCCGGATTTGGTCCTGTAGGTGACGCTGTTGGGCTTGAACTTACCCTGCCGAGTCACCTTGCCCTGCCTCACCTGCAGGGACAGAGCACAGCGGGGTGAGCAGGGCACGCAGTGGTTAACAGCGGGGCTTGGCTGCGAGAGTGGGCTCAGGCCCGCACCTGGATGAGGTTGGGGTAAAGCCCGGCCATGAGCACGCCCTTCACCAGCTCCTCCTCCTCACTGTACTCATTGCACTGGGCCGAGGGCAGTGTGCAGTCCGAGGGCTTCCCCACCAGGAAGGCCTCATAGATGTTTTCCGAGAACTGCTTGATGAGCCCTGCGGGGCGAGGCAGGTGGAAGGGTGAGCGAGGAGCCGGGCAGGCGGAAGCGGGGTGGGGCGGGCCGGGGCTGACCATGGATGAAGCGCAGGCTGGGCGCGTACAGCAGGTTTTCCTCCAGGTAGTTCTCCCGGGACGTGCGGTCCTGCCAGCGTAGCACCTCCTCCCAGCCGGCCACGGCACGCACAAAGGCCAAGTGGTCGCTGCCGCTGTCGTGGCTCAAGATCGCCTTCACCTGGGGAGAGACAGCACGGGGATCTGGGGTGGGGCTGGACACTACGGCCTGCAGTGGGCGGGCAGGCAGGGACGGGCTCTAACCTTGTCCACCTCAGCCCGGTTCTGCAGACTGCTGCTGAACGGGTCCCGGGTGAGGCAGGAGACCACCACCAGCAGTGGGTGCAGGCAACGGAAGATGGCAGCCAACACGATGGCCTTGGCCAGCCGTGGGTCCGTGGAGATGTGGGCCAAGCGCTGGCCCAGGGTGGTCAGGTACTCACGCTGGTCCAGCACCCCTGCAAGAGTCAGGCCTTAAGCCCTGGCCAAGCCCTGCCCTGCCCTGCCGCCAAGCTCTGCTCCCCCCCGCCCCCGCCAGGCGCGCCCCCCCCCCCCGCACCGATCTCCTGGAGCAGGATCACCGCCTCGTCCACTGCCTTGATGTTGGGGCTATCCACGGCCTTGGAAAGGAACTCTACCGCCTGGCAAGGACAGCTGGTGTCATGAGCCCATCCACCAGGCCCCAGCCCCTGCACCCAGCCCTGTATCGCACCGTCTTTTCAGGCATATGGATCTTGGCCTGCAGCACCAGGTTCTCCAGGGGCGTGCGCAGGATCTCGGGCACTTGGAAGGGAGCCATCTTCTCCAGCCGGCTCCTCGGGAACAAGTGGTAGGCAAAGCCTGACTGGCAGCGGCCAGCTCGGCCTCGGCGCTGGATCACGTTCGCTCTCGACACCCACACTGTCTCCAGGCAGGACACCTGGGAAGGGCAGGTGGTCGCCAGCATGCCGGCGGCTGGTTGGTGCTTCCCCGAGGCATCCCCACAGGGACAGACCCCAGGCGTGGCCTCCACGAAGCGCAAGCCTAAGGCAGAGCTGGGCTGGGCCAACAGGGAACCCATCCCGCCCAGGAGAGAGGCGCCACCTTGGTCTTGAGGTCATAGCGCTCCTCCTTATGCAGACCGCTGTCCACGACGTGCACAATGTCGTTGACTGTGATAGAGGTCTCCGCGATGTTCGTGGCCAGGACAATCTTCCGCACCCCAACTGGAGGCTGCTGGAATATGGCCTTCTGGTCCATCATGGGGATGTTGGAGTGCACTGGCGGGCAGCAAGATGCATGCTGGTTATGGGCACTGCTCTTGCCAGAACCAGCCCCGGGTGGGGACTCCAACCCCACCCTGGTGAAACTGAGGTCCCCGTCAGTAAGATCTGGCCCAGGGAAAAGGGGTGAAGTTGGTCAAACCCTGTGTCCTCTAAGCCCCAGCTCAGCCAGTGCCCCAAGACATGGCCCACGCCCGCCCACCTGCTGGCCCTCACCTGGCAGGATGAGGTACTTGCTCTCATGTATGCCCAGGGCCTCCTGCAGGCGCTGCTGCACTCCCTTGATCTCCTGCCACCCAGGCAGAAAGCACAGGATCCCACCTGCAAAGGACCCGCACAGGTAAGCTGGCCGCCCTAGCCTGTGGGCACTGGGTGGAGCAAGGACAGCCAGGTGGGGGGAGAAGCACCCACCTGGCTCCCCGTGGGCATCGATGTGCAGAACCAGGTCCGTCACGAGGTCCAAATCGAGGGCACATTCATCTTCAGACTGGGGTCGGGGCAGAGAACGCAGTTACTCCCTGGGACGGTGAGCATGCATAGTTGCTGACCCCTGTTCCTGTCTCAATCAGTGACACTTGGGGGGGGGGGGGCGGAGATAACTCGCCCTTGGCCACCTGACCACAGGGACAGGAAAAGGGGCTCTGGAAGACAGGCTGCAAGCCCCAGGGAATACCCCTCACCTCATGGTGCCGGTGCCGGTGCGGGTACTGATGCTTGCCCAGCTTGGCCAGGATGTCTTCCAGGTAGTGCTCCTTGACGGGGTACATGAAGCCAGGCACCTTGATGACGGGGCAGCCACCGAAGTAGCGGGAGAAGCGCTCATTGTCACCCGTGGCACTCATGAGCACCAGCCGCAGGGCGGGGTTGAGCCGCTGTAGGCCCTTGAGCAGGATGAGCAGGAAGTCCGTGTTCACGTCTCGCTCGTGGACCTCGTCCACGATGACGTGGCTCACGCCCTCCAGGCTGGGGTTGCTCTGCAGCTTGCGCAGTAGGATGCCCACAGTGCAGAAGAGCAGCGCCCCGCCCCGCGCTGGCGGCTTGCTCTCCAGGCGCACCTGGAAGCCCACATTCCGGCGCAAGGAAGGGCCCAGTTCGTGGCTGACCCGCTGTGCCACGGACACAGCTGAAATGCGGCGGGGCTGCGTGATGATCACATTGCAGTGGGCCCCGCGACCCTCGGTCACATAGCGCTCCAGCAGCAGCTGGGGGATGCGCGTAGTCTTCCCGCAACCTGTGTCCCCAGAAATGACCACCACGGGGTGCTGCTCGATGGCGTTGAGGATGGTGTCCCGGTGTGGGTCCACAGGGAGCTGCGGTGCCTCCTGCCAGATGGGGCCCCGCCGCCGCCACAGCTCCAGCAGGCTCTGGCTCAGGCGTACCTCCTCGGCCTCGCTCAGGGGCACGAAGGGCTTGCCGGTGATGGGGTCGCTCAGCGGCCCCGAGTCCTTGCCCAGGGGCAAGATGTCCTCGCTCTGCAGCCGGAGCTCGGGTGAGAGCCACGAACTTTCCACAGGGTACTGGAGGACAAGGAGGCAGGCAAAGTGGTGACAGGGAAATACCTTGTTGCTCCACTACAGGACCCGCCGGGCTAGGTGCTGGGGCCCAATCCGCAGGCAGAGGACTTGTACCGTTACCCTACCCGGGCCCCCACAGGCCATGGGAAGACAAGGATGGGGTGCAGGGGGCTCTCACGTGGTTCAGGAAGGTCTCTATCTTGCGGAGGATGGGCTCTGGCACCTGGATGGTGCACGGCCGGCGCTGGGTCTCACCCAGCTCCCGCAAGGAGGCCAGGTTGTACATGGCATGGGTGAGTGGCTCGTTGTTCCTGTCCACCAGGCCCAGGCTCTGCAAAGGGAACATGTGGGCTTCAGGCTGTGTCTAGGCCTGCACAGCTGGGAGCTCCATGGGACACCACATAGAGCAACCTAAGAGACTTTGGCTTTAGGCTGAAAACCAGTGAGAATTTAGGAATCAGGAAAACACAAATCTCCACAAAATGGATTAATTTTAAGTAGGTGACTTGAGGGAAGCCAGTCATGGCACAACAGCCCTAGCCATGCTCTGGCAGGTGCTGAGGAACAGCCTCTCCTGCCTTGTAGGGAGCCCAAATGACACCTCACAGCCCCAAGTGGCACACTTGCTCACTGCATCCACAACCCTGCCCCAGACCGAACGAAGCACTGGAACGTCCTTCGAGGTTGTGACCTGCCAGCATAAGTCTGTGGAGGGCAGTGTACTTGTGTCCCTATGTGCCTGCAGACCCCGCTCTCCCATGGCTGGACCACATGTACCCTCCCCAAGGAACACAGTCCCTCTGGCTCCATGCCTGTCCCCTGGACAGGAAAACACCACCAGCCAGGCACAGGGAAAGGGCTTCCAGCCTGGGCCAGGGTGGGGGTGGCAATCGGCAGCCTCTGGTGAACAAAGCAACCTTTGGCTCGTCTGTCACCAGCTGCTGCCTGGAGCCACTCCACCGGCATGGCCTCTGCTGCTCTGTGCATGGCTGTGCACCACCCGGGGCCGGGGAACTCATGGGAACAGCAGCCTGGGCCTCTGAGTAAGGCTATGGTGCGGGATGTCTGTATACCAGGGGAAGGCCTGCTGAGGCAGGGTCGCTTTCTGGGGAAGAGGACGGGTGTGCACACATGGCCCCAGTACTCTCAGGCTCACCTTCAGTTTCTTACAGGCCAGAGCTGCCGCCTTATTCTCAGCCTCTGCTTTGCGGCGCCCTTTGGCCACAAATGTCATGGGACAAGGCCAGAGCAGCGTGAGCGTGGACAGCTTGGTTTTGGTCCCCACAGTGTGGAACTGCATGAGGTTCTACATGGGAGGGAGGCAAGGTTACAGAAACAGAATGCAAGGAGAGTTAGGACGTTCTTGGGACACTAAGGTCCCCACAGAGTTCACCAGGGTCTCCAGTGGGACCAGTCACTGGCTCCCTAGCCTAAAGCAGGCAGGGCCCCTCTCCCTGCACCTCTGCTGCCCCAACAGGAGGCCATGCCACACCATGCCAGCCTGTCCCCTGCCTGCTGTCCTCGACACCTGTGCGTCAACCCCTCTCCATAGCAACAATAGTCAGATTTGCACCTCACCAAGACTGCTGCCTGCCTGCACCTCACTCCCGGCCCAGCCTTGGGCACATCACGCTGCTCCCCCCACCAGCACCCAGACTGCTTGTCGTGCACACAGACAGTCAGGCTTTGTGCCCAGTGCCTCCACACTAAGCTGTATCCTGGCCATTTAAATGGTATCTAGAGCTGGGGCCCACTGAACTGCTAGGCTTCCCAGGCTGGCCTTGAACCTGTGACCCTCCTACCCTGGCTTCCGGGCACTGGAATTAGTGCGTGCCTCTTGCTACTTCACTCCCCCACTCCCAAAGCTCCTGTCTCTCCAGTGGGCTGAGACAGGCACCCTTAGCCCTGTGCCCCAAGGCACCTTCCTCTGGGGTTTCAAGGGCCACGGAGAGCGCACTGCTCGGGCACACACTTCCAGGAGGCTCTGCTCACCTTTGCTGTGGAGGACGATGTTGCGATCTGAATCACCTTGGCCAGAAGGTTCTTGGGAAGTGGAAACTGGGTCAGGGCCCTCACAGCACTGTCGTCATCTGTCATTTCAAAGGAACCCCCCCTGGGAAGACCCAACAGTTCTGGTGCAAACGTTTGCTTTTCCCCTAGGCCCCAAGACCTGGGAGCGGGGCCAGGCGAGGGTGCAAGGGACAACAGTGGATAGAAGGGGCACTGAGATTGTGGGACCCACAGAGAGGGATGCAGCCACAGCATGAGACCATGGCAACCATGGTGGGTGTTCCCTAAGTGGGCAAACACGGGCAAGGGCTGGAGAGTGTGACAGAGCCTTGTCTGGGGACCCACATTCAACCCCCAGCAGATGCAGCCGCTCTCTGCAGTACCTGGAGTCACGGAGTGGCGTGTGGGAGTCCTGTTGCGTCATGGATAGGAATTCTGTAACATCGATGGTCCCCTCCTCCAGCTCTTCCTCCTCGTCCTCTTCCTCCTCTCCCCGGCCTAAGGTACGGGACAGGCCCCCAGGTCCCCCTGGCCGTATGCTCTCGGGATTCAGTTGCCGCCATGATGTAGTGGGCATGGTGGGTTCTGGACGCCACCAGCTGTCCGCTGGGGAGCCGAAGCGGTCAGCAAGCACGCGGTATTTGGCTGCATCAAACAGTTCATTTCGGGGACCCAGCAGCCCCCAGCCCTGAGGGGAAAAGGACAGGACACATCTATGTGCTCAGTCAGCCTGGACCCTGGCATGCTACACCAGGTCCCCTTTGCGGCTATCTCCCCATGCACCTCAGTCTAGAAATGGGCACAAAAAGAGCATAAACAGGCCTGGCCTGATAGAAAAAGGCAAAATAAAGCCCTGCATCCCTCAGACCGAAAGGCAAAAGAAAGCCCTCAGGAATGCCAAAGATGGCAGACACTGCAGTGATCTCAAAGCTTTTGTGAGCACAGCCCACACCTTTGAGCAGAGGCAACTTCAGATACAGGGTTGAAGGTGGGCTGCAGTCAGCACTCACAGCACAAAATTATCCGATGCAAGGTGAAGGGTACAAAGTGGACATGTGAAAATAAGATGTGCTTCTCTTCACTCCAACTGCAGTCTAGTGACAAAGCAAGAGAGTGACCCCATTTCCAGTAACAGCAAAAATACTGACATGAGGCCAGGGATTTAGCTCAGTGGCATAAGCACCTGCCTGGCAAGCATAAGGTTTTGAGTTCAACCCCTTGTATCCCCCCAAAAAATATAGACAGATAGATATAGGCAGATAGGTGGATAGACAGATATAGATGAGGGAGACAAAGGGGAAGAGACATGAATACAGCAGACACATTATAGCATGTGCATGTATCAGGTCCCCACCAGGGATAAATCATGCTCCAAACGTGGGCTAATAACAAAAAAGAGTAAATATGCAAATTTTCCTAATCTTTAAATAAGTGAATGAATAAATAATTATGTATAAGTGCTTGTGCCACTGAAGTTCAAAATATTAATGAGTCCAACTCAAGGAGGTGAAGGATCTGTATGCTAAAAGTATAAAACAGTGATGAAAGAAACTGAAAAAGACACACAGAGGAAGCCATTTGTGACCTAGGTGAATTAGTATTGTAAAAATAGCCACACTTGGAGAAGCTATATGCAGGCTCACTGCAATCTCTATCATAATTCAAATGGTGTTTTCAAAGAAATTAAAAAATCACTGCTCATTAAGGGCTGGGAGTTTAGCTCAGCAGTACAGGTGCCTGCTTGGCAAATGCAAGGTCATGAGTTTGATCCCTGGAACCACAAAGAAACCAAAAATAACATTACTGCTCACGAAGTCGAGGCAGGTCACAAATCTGAGGCCAAGTTGAACAATTTAGCAAGATATGAGAAAAAAATAAAGGGCCAAAACACACCTGTAAAGGCAGGACCAAGTTCATGCCTGAGCTAAACACCCTGGCGGCTCAACAGGATCCGATCTCAAATAAAAGGCTGGGTGGGGATCCTGCCCAGTCCAGAGGCCCTGGGCTCAGTCCTGAGTGTAATCCCAGCACTCAGCCACTTTGGACGGTCCTGGCTACATAATGACACCCTGTTTCAAAAAGAAAAAGGAAAAACTCCCTGCAGGGTAAAATTCTCTTGGGTTGAGATCCATCACGAGACAGGTTTTGAAACACTGAACTGAAAAGGGCGGCCGGGTGACACTAAGATCCCAGCAACAAGGAATACAGGAGAGGGTTGAGGGTTTAGCTCAGCAGCTGAAGAGCTTGCTTGACAAGCGTGAGGTCATGAATTCAATCCCTGGTTACTGCCCCCCAAGAAAAGGGCTGGAGAGGAAGAGGAGCACAAGCATGACCTACAGAGAGGGGGAAGCAGGGTCATTAGGTAAGGCCAGAGCAAGAGTGCTGAAGCCAAGTGCAGCTGGGGAAAAGCTGTGAGTCTGCCAGCAACCTGGGCCATAGGCAGCCGCGAATAGTGACCATGGCTGATGCCACACACTGGGGGACATAAAGGTAACCGAGACCAGGGATAACACTGGAGTGGCGAAAACAAACTATAAGCACAGTGACCATTTGCCAAGGGAAACAGCTGGGACACCGTGCATCAAGGCCAGAGGAGTCACAGGAGGACAGATGAGGGAGTCCATCAAAGCAGAAGAGCTCGGACAGAGAAGACGGGTAGGTGCTGCAGGCCCCAGGACGGGAGAGGGAGCACCTCCTGAGATGCACAGGGAGGCTGCCACACAGGAGCAGAAGCGGAGGGAACACGCAGGCTAGGCTCTGCTCTTGCCAGGGTAGAGATGCAGACTTGTATCGAGGCTGGCACAGCCATACGGCTGGCCAATTAGGGCAGGAATGACACTGAGTGCCAGTCATGACCTCTAATGGCTGGCCGCTGGGAAACAAGCGACACCACACTTCCAAGACACCAGGAGATCATGGCCGGGGGTGAGATCCACAAGAGAGAATGGGGAAAGCAGAAATCAAAGTGGAAAGACAACTATCATGCTAGATACTGGGTTTTCATGAAACCAGACAGTAGAGAACCATTATGCGACAGCAAAGACAAAGAGGGAAAAAGAGAGAAAGAAACATTGAAAAAACAGTGTATTCCCTCAGAACTAAAAAAAAAGGAACCAGGAGTAGGAAGGACTTCAGGCAGATAAATGGTGGGACACTGCATCAGCCCCACCAGATGGACCTGGACCAGAAAAGCTACCAGTGCAAGGGGCAAGCACTCTGCACCACAGGAGCATCACCTTGAACAGCTGGCAGGCCGCAGCTGCAGCCTGCCGCTCGGCATCGATCTTCTTGCTACCATAGCCTTCTACCTCCACGCTTTTGGGCCACTTTATGTGCAAGGTGACCTTCTGTGAAGAGAAGAAGTAGTTAGACAAGTGGCCTCTCTGGATGAGACTTGCTGTAAATCACAAGAAGCAAACAGCAAAACTATGCCCCTCATGGAATGATGTGCCAGGACCACTCTGGTTGGGGGTACGGGGGTACAGCACTGACCCTAAGACTCTAATGCCCTCCCCTCAGTCCATTCATAGAAATGCAAGTTCTTGGGGGCTGGGGATTTAGCTCAGCGGCATAAACACCTGTCGTCAGTTCGATCCCTGGTACTGATAAAAAAGGAAAAAGACAAAAAAAAAAAAAAAAAAAAAGATATGAAATGCAAGTTCTCTGGCTTCCCGAAGATGACGTGTGCTTCACCAACAGGATGTTAGACCTGGCTTTCAAAACCTTCACACAGATCGGTCTGTCCACACGCTTGCTTCTGTGGGTCTCAGGACCCACGAGACTCTAGAAGCAGGAATCCTCACCATCACTGCAAGCCCTCTGTGATCCTAGTGGGCCAGTGGGGACCTAGAGCCAGAGGCTGGAGCAGGACTCTGGCAGGAGGACTCTTTGCCTTGTGTGCCTTGTATCCCCTTTCCCTGAACCACAAGCCTCTCCTCTCTGGCTCTTCTTCAACCCTAACTTCATTTTCAGACTCTGCTGACCATCCTTACCCAGAAAACCCACTCTGGCCTCCATGACAAAAACACCTGAGCCACAGGGGCGCGTGACCCCCTCCACAACAAGCAGGGTTCAGCCTCAAATGGTACACTTGCCTTTTTCTTCGGTCCATTCGTGTGCACATAGACTAGTTTGTCTTTGGCGTGTGAAATGCCGAGGGCTCTTCCAATCACACTGTTGAGAAGATTTTTGGGCTGTGGAAACTCTTTTAATAGGTCCCTAGAAGCTAAGAAAATAAGAACAAAGACATTATAGCTGTTCATTTCCTTTTAAAAACTCCATGGATTGTGTAACAAAATAACCCATAGCTTGGTTATGAGGGAACTGGCTGGTGACCCTAAATCATTCAGGAGCACAATGGAAACGAATGGAGGACCAAGCCGGGTGTAGTGACTCACGCCTGTAATCCCAGCACTCGGGAGGCTGAAGTGAGAGGATCGTTGCGAGTTCAAGACCAGCCTGGGCTACAAAGTGAGCTTAAGGCCAGCCTGAACTGCATAGTGAGAACCTGTCTCAAAAAAGACAAAAAAAAAAAAAAAGGGCTGGCTTTAGCTCAGTGGTTCCTTCGAGTTTGGCTTCCAAACCGCCAGGGCCGATTGGTCAGGTGGTTCGAGACCCACCGGTACTCTCCAGTCCTTTAAAAAAAAAAGAATGGAGGACCAGCTTCTGGGTTTCTGAGACAATGGAGCCACACCCATGTGTATGGCCACCTCTGAAAAGCCAATCACCAATACACCACAGAAGGGCCAGCCAGATGATCTCATTTATTTATTTTGGTTTTAAAAGAATAACGAAATCAACTTTGCATAGCCTTGACGGATGGACACACACACCCGTACACACACACACACACACACACACACACACACACACACACGTATGATGAAAGGCACTAAACCGAAGAACAAAAGCTCTCCATACACACAAACTGGAGACCAAGACTCTCCCCAAAGCAAGACACACAGACCAGCTGTGTATAATTCAGTGATCAGCTGCAAATTCTGAAAACCAGGTCTCAGGTTTCATTTGTTCCTCAATGAACTGCAGAAACCTCTCTAAAACTAGACCGTGTATAAGTTGATTGAAGACTGCCACAACATAGACACAGGTGTGAGCTATTTCCTGATTTCTCTGCCATGATGGGGAAGAATGCATCAGATACTAGGAGAGAGATCTCATTTCTTCCACTTGTTCCTTGCATCAACTCCAGGTGAGCTGTCCACCTAGAGGAAGCTTCTGACCCACACAAGGGTTAGGCAACAAAGATCTGAGAGGAGTGGTTAGATACAAAAGGATCAGTCCCAAAGCACCAGAGTGGCCCTTCAACAGTTGGGAGACTGAGATCTGCGGAGGAGACAGGGGCCTTTCATTTACCACCCTCAGCCTCCTGCTAAACCTGCTCCAGAATGGAACTCGGTGGCTGTGTACATGCACCGGTGTACTTGCTTGGTTATAATCTCTGGGAAGGTTTTTTTCATAGCACTGGGAACTCTGCTTCCTTTAAGCACACGAGAATGGCAGCGATGTTGCAGTTCACTCCATTTGCTCAGATGCTACCCCAGGAGTTCCTCGCTACCTGCTTTGGGTTTGTTCCGTCTCAAAGGCCATCTTATAAGTCAACTAGGAGTAAAGCAGTTAACAGCATCGAAGGAGACTCTAGGAGAGCCAATGTGACAGCAAAGCGCGCTCAGCCAAGGATGCACGAAGACCCCTCCACGTCCCCACCAGCTCCGCCCTCTGTACGGTTCCGTTCGCAGAAAGCTGTAGTCTGGCTGCCTCTGAGACGCCGAAGCGACGAAATCGCGCCGCCCACCAGGGCAAAGGCCCGGGAACCCGCAGGCACCGGACGTTACCTGCTTTCCCCAAGCCCTCGCGCCCGTTTAGCCTGCGCCGCCCGAGCTCTAAACCCGACAACGGGAGGCCCGGCCCGCGCCCAGCCCAACCCAGGGGCCGAGAGCGCCGCCGCCGGTCTCACCGTTCACCATGCTCCCGTCGCCCTCCCCGGGTTCCGCCCCTGGCTCGGCCGCCTCCTTGGCGCAGTTGGGGCGGGCGAAGCTGGAGGAGAGGCCGCGCGAGCGTCCCTGGCGCCGGACAGCGTGGGGATCCGGCGGCCGCAGGCGCGGAGAGACGCCGGCAGCTAGCGCCATGAGCCTCCTGGCGGCCGCCATCGCGCTCCCGGCGGTCCCCGCGGCGCTGCAAAGGGCTCGAGAGGACGCAGCGGCTCCACAGCGCGCGCCCCCTGCAGGCTGGGCGGGCCGGGATCCCTTCCTAAGCCCAAGGATGGCACCTGTGGCTGGAACGCAAAGGGGATTGCGAGGTTTTGGGAGGCAGTGTTAGGCGTTACATGGCCCAATGCCCACCAGAGGAAACGAAGCAACTTTCCTCCAGGTCCCTTTGCAAGACGCAGCCTTGGAGTGCATCTGCCAACCAGGGCACCGCCATTTCCAAATGGCTTACAGACTGTGTACCCGGATAGGGACGCTGTCTTGAGCTAATCCACCTAACTGGAGTAAGGATGAAAACACCTGACTCTGGACACCATACCAAGAACTATGCCAGTCGGTCTTACAGTGCTTGTCCGACTCCACGGCTTCTTCCTTTCTTGAAAGCTAGATGGGGTCTATTTCCCATGTGCCCTGCCCGGATGTCAGCCAGACTCGCTGTTCTGCCCCCAAGAAGGGCTCTGAAAGCCAGGCTTTGGCTGAGTAGGAATAAGAGGCTGAACCTACAGACTGGGAGCGGTGACCAAAGCGCTGCTCAGCAGCAGTGCAGAGGGCGCCATCTGTTCTGTGACTCTAGCTGGAAAAGGAGTTAAAATACAATCCTGACTGCTACATCCAGGTTCCTGTCCACAAGGTCAGCAGGGCGGCTCTGGAATCTGCCTTTTAGCAAGTTCCCATGTGGTGCTTGCTGCTGGCCTGGTGCACACTCTACAGTGTCCGTGGAGAGACACAGGGTCTGAGGCCTAACGAGTGAGTTTAGTCTCGCTCAGTGCCACCACCTGCGAAGGGAGCAACTTCTTGAACTGGAAATGGTTCGTACAAACTTGCTCCATTCATTTGGTGTCACTGTGGCTGGGATCAAATAGTAATACTTGGAATAAGGTTGTAAAAGAATCCTGTTTGTGAAGAGTTTGGCCTGAGAAGTCTGAGGACAAACTGTGGTGGCATAGGTTTGTAATCCCAGCACTCAGGAGGCTGAGGCAGGAGGATTTTGGAGAGTTCAAGGTCAGCCTCTCTTTGGACTATAAAGAGACAGCCTATCTTGGGGCTGGGGATTTAGCTCAGCGGCATAAGCGCCTGCCTTGCAAGCAGGTGGTCGTGAGTTCAATCCCTGGTACCGATAAAAAGAGAAAGGCAAAAAAAAAAAGAGAGAGCCTGTCTCAGACAAAATCTGCAATGACAAGGGACAGTCCCTTACAGACAGACCCACAAAGGCCGATACAGCTTCAATTCCAAGTCCTCCATTTAGTCCTCTGTGGGCCTTTATCAGGACAGGGACAAGGGAGGTGACTTTGGCAGCCATTATCTGGCAGCACTTGTGACCAGGAGACAATACCATCTGAATCAAACGCCCTATCCAGATCACCCCCAGTGGAGTGTAACACAGTTCTCTAAGGGTTCTGGGATTTCTGAATGGCTTATTTGTTTGCCAAAAGCCTGGGCAGCCACTGAGCTCTGGAACAGTTTCTGAGGATTGGTAGGAGCCCCATCTCCCTCAGAAGAATCCTGAAATTTACCAGTTAAGGCAACAGTAGCAAAGTGCAACTGCAGGCTGAAAGAGACAGAACCAAGACAGAAAGGTCCCATGTGGAGCCGGCTGGGCTTGCCCACCTTCAGGAAGTGCTCAGTCTGGTGTCTGCTGGCAGCCACTCACCTCGCTGCCCAGTACTACGACTTCCGGAATCTGCTTCTGGCTTCTGAGGGACAGAGTGAGGGATCACACACAAACCAGATGGGCTGTGAGTACTTAACTTTCAGGCGGGCAGCAGGCATGGCGTCCACTGTCCATTTTCTCTATTTTAGAACACGTATTATGTACCTATACATAACCCTAGTCGGCCATAGGCTGAGGCAGGAGAACTGCCATGAGTTTGATGGCAGCTTAGGGTCCACAGCTTTCTTAGAGGTCAGCTCTGGACTACACAGTATGACCCTGTCTCAAAATCATAAAAAAAGGGCCAGAGACTTAGCTCACTGGCACAAGCGCCTTTGTGGCAAGCAGAGGGTCATAAATTCAATCCCTGGTACAAAAAAAAAAAAAAAAAAATTCACAAAAAGGCCAGGTGTGGTGGTGCACATCTGTCATCCCAGCACCCAGGAGGATGAGGCAGGAGGATCGCTCAGCATTCAAGGCCAACCTGGGCTACAAAGTGATTCTAAGGCCAGCCTGGAATGGATAATGTGACCGTTGAAACTCTATTAACAATAAGTGATAATGATCAATGAGCTGCTTCCCATGGAGTGCTGTGTTCCCCACTCCTGTCTCTCTGGGATTCACCCCTTTTTTCTGGGCCCTAGACAAATGCCTCCCCCCCCCACTTACTCTTGTGAGATGAGTGGACCCTCTGGCTCTGTGGTCTTATCCCTACTGGACCAGGGCAGGGGCTGGCAAACTCCAGCTGCAGACCGGGCCGCCACTGCCGGCTGCTGGAAACCCTGAGTGGAATCCAGTGTGGGCTCGGGGACCAGCGCATCATCTTTGGCTGCTCTCGCGCTGGCATGGCAGCGGAAGTAACGGCCACAAAACCTGGCACTCAAAACCTGGACATTTACCATCTGTTCCTTCCGAAGACAGAGCCTGCTACCTCCTGCAGAGCTGGAGGACTGACGAGAAATGGGTGGGCTTGACCCTGGCTTCCCCCACCCCAAGACAAAGCCCCTCCCTTTGCCCTGAAAAAGGAAGGAGCTCAGGGAGCCCCATGTCTGCTCCACATCAGGTGCAGCACCTGTAGATCTAAACATCTGCGACACGCAAGTGAGGGGCACAAGGCCTGCTGAATACCCACAGTGAATGTTCTAGAACCCTAGGTTTGAAGACCTCGAAATAGGAACCAGGAAGTCCAGCATGCTGGTACCTTCTTGCAGTCCAGGGGAGAGAAAAGCCTCAAGTCCAAGGCAGTGAGACCCTACTGCAAAAGAAAAAGTAAACAGCGCTGGGATATGGCTCAGTGGACACCCTGGTCCCATCCCAGTAGGGCGGGGAGGCAGCACAGTTCAAACCTTGGGGCTGACCTGGTGGGCTTTGAAGGGAGGGGCAACCAACACCTCAGTGCATGCCGGGATCCCAGCACTCTGAGAGCCTGGGGCAGGATGACTACAAGTCTGGGCCCAGCCTGGACAATTTAAAGACTCAGCAAGACCTGGTCATAAAAAATTTGTAGAAAAGGGGAAGGAGGCCAAGCATGTAGCTCGGGGTGGGGGGGGGAGGGGCTGGGTTTAATCTCTAGCACCAAGAAAAAGAAAAGAAAGCTTTGGTCTTGGCCGACAAGTGGCAACTTATTTGAGCACAGGTAGGTATTTTATGGATGTGGATGGATAAAAGGGCACGAAATGGTCTAGGCTGGTGGCGAGGAGGGTAAGGAAGCCACAGGAGAAGGTGGGCACCCTGATAGCCCTCCCAGGTCACCTGTCCTCCAGGCCTTCCCTTCCACTCAGTAGAAGTCACCTGTCCCTTGGCATAAACCACATCAAGAATGGGATTCCTGCCAGCTGGGGTGTTGCACCCCTGTAATTCCAGCGCTAGGGGAGGCTGATGCTGGAGGATTCTAAATTTAAATTTAAGCTGTCTCGAAAGACCCCATCTCAAAATACAAAGAGCAGGGGCTGCAGCTGAGCGCAAAGGCCAACCCCTTACTGGGGAGCAGGCGCATGCACCCTGCCCTTGAGAGGAGTCCTGGACCGAAGCGGGCTGGCTGGGTGGGGGCGATGGTTTCTGTCAACTTCAACTCTGACCCACTAGACATGCGCTGGCTTCCTTGTGTGAGTGGGCACCGTCCTCCGGCACCACAGGGGCTGCTGCCGCCCCACACTTGCTTCTCATGGCGGAGGCAGCAGCAGCACAGCCAGGGCAGCCTTGGGGTTAGAAAGCTTGACGGGCCAGCTGCTAAGGAAGCTGGAGGAGGAGGAGGATCGCTGGAGCCTGGGACTCCAAGGCCAACCCGGGCCACTCGGAGGCCCCCGCTCAACAGAAAAGAAACAAAACGGGAAAGAAAAAGCACTGCACGAAGGCCACAGCCCCAAGGTAGCCCACACACAGCAGCCCTGTCCCCAGCCATGACTGCCTGGTGGTTGGCAGCTTGGCACTCAGACACCCAAGCCACTTACCTGCTGCTGAGGGAATGTTAACGCATGGCCTGTTCAAGTTACTGGGCATTTTAAGAGGCAAAAAAGCCAATGGACTCTGTTTTGGCGGTGGAGGGGGCAGCGTTAGAGGGGCCTAGTGCTGTCACCCTGTGTGCAAGGGCCTCCTGGCGTGGCAGGGACAGGGAGCTCCGCGGTGCCCACATCCTTCCCGAGCCCCAACCCCTCAATACCCCTCAGAGGCAGAACCAGAGATAGCAGAGATCCAGTTCCTGTGCAGGTGGGCAGGGGCGGGCATAGAAGACGGGGCCACCGGGGCTGTAGCCATGGCTATGGCCAGCCAGGAAGAAGCAGAGTCCCCTCCCCTCTCCTATCACTGGCTGGGCCCTGGGGTCACTGGGGATTGGAGGTGAACTGTCACTTCTCTGGGCGCTGCAACAGCCACCCCAACAGGAGGAAAGCCTGCAGCCAGGGTGGGGAGGTGCTCAGAGGTGCTGCAGGCACAGGGAGGCGACTTGAGGGGTCTCCCCAGAGGCTTCAAGTGGGCTCTGTCTTGTGCCTGCTAGGAGAGGCCGTCCAGGAGCCCACGCCACTCTCCCCACGTGCTCTGCGCCCAGATGCCGGATCATGGCTGCAGGCCCAGGAGACGTTGGGTACCCAGGCTACAGCTCTACCAGGGGCTCCTCCTCCCTGGCTTCCCCAAGTCGCAGCCTGGCATTGTTCCCAAGTCACCCACCACACACGGCCTGGGCCCCTCGCTTACCTCGAGAGATGGTCCCTCCGGGGGCGGGGGTGACGCACATCGGGGGGAGGCGGGGTGGTGGAAGCTTACACTGACGCTGCCTGTGTTGGGCCCGATCTGGGGAGAGAGAGGGCATCAGGGACAGGTTCTCTCCTTGCATGGTGCAACACCTGCAGTGTCCCCTGGCACCCTAGGAAGCTCTGCGCCACAGGTTCTGAGGCACAGGGGCGGCAACACCATACTGGGAAATGACAATCATCTTATGTAGAAGCAACATGTGACAGTGCTGTAGAGATCACCTCCCAGCTCCCCAAAAGCCATCAAACTCTGCCTGTATTCCCAGTGCTCAGGAGGCTGAGGCAGGAGGATTGCCTTGAATTTGACAGCAGCCTGGCCTACATGGTGGGTTTAAGGCCAGCCTGAGCTACACCACAAGACCCTCTCTGAAAACAGAAATAAGTCACCAGGCTCTTCCTGTCGCCCCAGTGACCCATAGGAATTAATGCTCCTACTGTGTGCTTGAAGTTACAGCCTGAAGTTACACAGACTGCATAGGACAGCGACTGAAGGCTGATGGCCAGGCACCAGGGACCCACATAATGACCTCTTGGTCTTGCGACAGCAGTCAGGTATTTGGTGTGGGCATCCCAGCTGCATGCCCTGGCTGCCAACCCCAAGGTTTCCTTGCCCTCTACAGGCAGAGTAAGACTGATTATCAGGGTCTAGCCCAAGAGCTGGAAGCAGATCCACACTTCACTGGAATTCTCCCTTTCGCTAACAGTGTACCTGAGCCAGGAGTTGTGCGCACACCTGGAACCTCAGCACTTGGGAGGCTGAGGCAGGAGGACTGCCAGTTCAAGGCCAGCCCAGGCCATACCAAGACCCTTTCTTTTAAAGAAAGAAAGAAAAGAAGAGGTAACTTGTTATCTTTAATATTTCCATTCATTTGAAGACTAAATGATATTTATCAGCGTTCTACAAAGAACATCTTTAAGAAGCTCCAAGCCAGGCATGTGGCGTATACCTGAAGTCCCAGTACTTGGGAGACCAGTAGGGGAATGCTCCGAATTTGAGGCCAGTATGACCCTGTCCCAGAAAAACAAAACAAAACGACAGCTCCAAAAAATCCTAGAGAGCTGAAGTAAAATTACAGCATGCGCTGAGCCTTCCATGGGGAGACAGAAACCCGTATGTGAGGACGCGCCTCTGACCCCATGTGAATGCTGGAAATCTCAGAGACTCGCTAGCCTGGGGCAAAGGCCCAGGCCCTCTGCTGCGCCCAGCTGGTTTGCACAGAACACGGGGATAGGGTAGAGTGCGCCCTGCCATCTGCCTCTTCTTTCCTGCAATCTTTTCTGTAACGCATGGTGGTTCGATGCCAGTGGTAGGTAGGGGAACGTATCAGTCAGACCTAAAAACTGCTACTGGGCCTGTAATCCCAGCTGCTTGGGAGGCTGAGGCAGGAGGATTACAAATCAAATTCAAGGCTGGTCTGAGTAAATTATTATGATTTTTCAGACAGGGTCTTGCTATGTATTCCAGGTAATCCTTGAACTCACTTGTAGCCCAATCTGGCCTCCAGCTCTCAGTTCTCCTGCCTCAGCCTCCTGAGTGCTTATGGTACGTATTACAGGGATCTTTATTTTTTATCTTATTGAAGTCTGGGCAATTCAGAGAGACCTCATCACAACACAAAAAATAAACAGGGCTGGGGCACTCAGAAGGCGAGGCCGAGGGTAAAGAGTTCAAGGCCAGCCTGGGCTACATGCTGCTATCTCAAAAAAATAAATAAATACATAAAAGTAAGCAGTCCTACACCCCGCTAGTGCTGAGGACATACATGCAGGCTGCCCACTTCGCATGGTGGTGTTTACCTTCTGCCTCGAGCAGGGACTGTGACTCAGGGACCGAAGGCTGGCATCTCCCTGAGTGGGGGTTTGCTCAGAGGTGGTCAAGTGTGCAGAGAGTGGGGACATGGGCCGCCTTGCACCCCGAAGCTACTTAGTAATCAGGGGACTGTGGACTCTTTGGGTTTATTAACTCATCACCCTGTGAACGACCCTGTGACATACACATTCAACTCGGGAGGAAAAAGGGTACAGGCAGGGTGGGGCCCCCACCCACCCTGTCCCCCTGCCCCTAACCAGAAAGGGACAGAGCCAGGATGAGACCTGGACACAGAAGTGCAGAGGTTTTGCTCAGGCAAAGCCACCCCACCCTAGAGGGTCACCTCATAGCCAAACCCAGGCATCCCCCTCTGGGCCACCATCTATCATGAACAGAAGCGAAAGGAAGACCTAGCTTTTACAAGGCTCTCGCTGTCCTCAGAAAGCAGCCCTGTTCTCTCCGGGGCTGTCACCTGCATTGCTGCCCCTCTTCCTCACACAGGACACAGAGCACAGCCCCTGGGGTCAATGGGCGCACAAAGCAACTGAAGAATACTTGATGCTTAGCTCAGAAAAGCTGTGCTAGCCTCACAAACCCCAACTTTGATCTTTCCCTTTCCTTAGCCAAGAACAAAACAAATAAACAAATGGGCTTTTTTTTGTTTTTTTTGGTTTTTTTGTCTTTTTCGTTTTTATTGGTACCAGGGATCGAACTCACGACTGCCTGCTTGCAAGGCAGGCGCTTATGCCGCTGAGCTAAATCCCCAGCCCCAACAAATAGTTAAAAAAAAACAAAAACAAAAACAAAAACAAAAAAAAACCAGCCAGGTGTGGTGATTCACATCTGTAATCCCAACCTTGTAGGAGGCTGAGGCAGGAGGATCACAACAAATTTGAGGCCAACCTGGGCTATGTAGTACACTCAATACATTCCTGAGTAGGACAGTAGGACAGTAGGACCCTGTCTTGAAAAACCAAAATAAATAAATAGAATAGCAGTAACAAAAACAAGAAATAATAGGATGATAAAATTAGGTTAAAAAAAGAAATTAGCTTTTCAAACACTGAGAAAAGACACAGAGCTTAGAACATGCCTGTAATCTCAGTACTCTGGAAGGCTGAGGCAGGAAAATTCCAAATTCAAGCCCAGCCAAGG